AGAAATTCAGAAATATTTTCATAGCTTAATGGGAATGTTAAGAAAACGTTCATAGAATATATTTTTGTTAGTCGGTTTAAGACCTGTTTCCGCCACTGAATAAAACATTTAAAAGATAATTGCACCTTTTTATTTCACAATTCTGACTTTTTTTCTCACAATTGCAAGTTACAAAGTCAGAAATGTGAGATATGAACTCATAATTCTGAGGAAAAACATATTTTTTCCCTCAGAATTGGACTTTATAAACAGCAGTTGCGAGTTTATATCTCACAAATCTGAGAAAAGAAGTCTGTGAAAAAATTGTGAAAAAAAAATTGCAATTGTGAAAAAAAAAACAGAATTGTGAGATAAAATGTCACAATTACCTTTTTTTATTTTTTATTCAGTGGCTTCCACAAAGACCAACCCAGCTAACAAAAATATGTTTTACGAACATTTTAAGTTATGAGAAGTTACGAAAACGTTTCTTCTTGATTGCGTAAATGTTAGAGGAACATTCCATTGTAACAGTTTGAAAACATTCCCTAAAAGCTGATCCACAATGACATTAAAAGACTTTGTGAGAATAGTAGTAAAAAAAATAAAAATTTAGTTTAGTTTTCATCCAAGATTTAGTTCATCAGTTACGTATAATATATATTAATAAGAATTTTGTTCTAAAAACATTTTCTATTAACATTATAAGAACATTTAACAATAAAGAATAATATCATATAATGTTTAATAATAATAATAATAATAATAAAATTTTATGGACATTTCCATTAACCCTAAAACATGCAATGAAATGCAAAATTAAATGAGGTAAACATTGTGCCCTATTTTTATGGATATTTCTTTACAGTGAACACTGTCACACTATTATCTGCTAACATTACAAAAACATTGAGCAAATATTATTAACATCATAAGGACACTCTGAGAACATTGTTCTACGAATTTTTCTCAACATTATGAGAACATTCATCAAGTACAAATAACATCATAAGGACATTCTGAGAATACTGTTCTACGAACATTTCCTCTCAACATTACGAGAACGTAAACTGAATATTAATAATGTCCCATAAACATTTTAAGAATCCTTAGTCCTAACGTTTACGTAACCTTTAAAATCTTTATGGGAATGTTCTCTTTGAAAGTTATGGGAATGTTCCCTGTTTACTGGAAGCGTTGTCCTTTGGAGAAGTAAAAGGCACACACGAGTCAATTGTTGTTTTATTGATCATTTAATTAGAAATATTTGAGTTCATATTGAGATCTCTGACTTTTGATTGCAGACTTTGCTGTCTGTGAAAAATCTGTGCAGATTGAGATGTTTTCCTCATGAGAAACATCTGAGAAACAGTTTTTCTTGACGACATGAATGTGAGCTGGTGTGATGATTTTGTCTGACCTTGGTTTTATGCTTTCCAAAAATCTCTTGGCAGTGAAATAGCAGTCTAATAAAGAGAGCTGACGGCCTATCAACAGATGTCCAGACGTGTCAGATCCTCTCAGCGCGACTGAGCTTCATATTCTGACGTGATGGTGAGTGTGATTCCATGTGAAGGACCTTTACAGGACCGAACGTCCTTCATGATGTTATACGGTGCAACTTCTCTCTGCACAGCCGAGGAGATGCATAACATGCTGGACGGTACATAATAAACACTATTTTCATATCTCAAGCATGCTATAAAATATACATTAACATCTTCATATTATACTTGAGTGAGACGCAAGATAGAGAGAAAATAGAGAGAAGCATGCAGCAAAAGTTTGAGGTCAACAAGATTTTATTTGAAAGAAATGAATACTCTTATGGCAGTAAAGACATTTATAATGTTACAAAAGATTTCTATTTCTAATAAATGCTGTTCTTTTGAACTTTCTATGCATCTGTAAATCCTAAAAAATTAAATGTATCACAGTTTCCACAAACATATTGAGCAGCACGACTGTTTTCAACATTGATAATAATCAGAAATGTTTCTTGAGCAGCAAATCAGCATATTAGAATGATTTCTGAAGATCATGTGACACTGAAGACTGGAGTAATGATGCTGAAAATTCAGCACTGCATCACAGGAATAAATTACAATTTAACATATATTCATATAGAAATTAGTTCATTTAAATTCTAATAATATTTCACAATTTTACTGTTTTTACTATAATTTTTGATTATATAAATGAAGCCTTGGTGGACAGAAGAGACTTCTTTCAAAAACGCTAAAAAATCTCACCCCAAACTCGACCCTAAACATGTTCAACAGTAGTTTAAGTAAACTGCAATCAATCAATCAATCAATAAAATGTCAGCTGCAAATATAGTATTACCTTTATAGGGAATAACAAAAAAAAATGAAGTAATACTTAATATAAATGAAATATAGTATAATTATATTATATTATATAAAAATAACTAAAATGACTCTTTTTTTTATTCATGTTCATGATTATCCAAACATTTTTGCAGGATTTACTTCTGTACTTTCAAAACTTAATAACTGTACGCAGGCACAGATTAACTGTGCACTTTAGAATGACCTTAAAGTTTCCTGTCTGATCTTGTCCATCTTATATAACTGTGGGAAGCATTAAACACAACCTGACATGGTCAAACCATGATCGGTGTCACATAACGAGCAGAAGTGCTGAGCAGGAGGGTGGCGTACGTGCTGCTCGCTCGTGGCCTCGTCCAGAATCCCTCTCTGAAGGGCAACGCCATGTCGTGCCTGTGCTGCTTTGCTGTTGCGAGGAGACACTGTGGCTCCACGCAGCAGAAGAGATGAGACTGGCAGAAGACAAGTCCTGTCCATGACATCCTTGGCTCTGCAGTGAGACTGGTTGCCTTCAGAGAGGCCTGAGTCAATGCCACCCACTCACAAACTGCAGCACTGAGAGAAAGAGAGAAAACAAATCATATATTCACAACATACAGTATAAGACATGATCATAGAGCATCAGAGAGACAGACATTAAAGGAGTAGTTCCCCCAAAGATGAAAATTTGCTGAAAATGTACTCACTTCAGGCCATCCGAGATGTAGATGAGTTTGTCTCTTCATCAGATTTGGAGAAATTTAGCATTACATCACTTGCTCAGCAATGGATGCTCTGCAGTGAATGGGTGCCGTCAGAATGAGAGTCCAAACAGCTGATAAAAACATCACAATAATCCACAAGTAATCCACACCACTCCAGTCCATCAGTTAACATCTGGAGAAGACAAAAGAAACAAATCCATCATTAAGATGTTTCATTATTTCATCATTAGGTCCATAATCTATGATAATGGAAAACGTGGTCTGGTCTGAATCAGGAGAGAAATCTGCACAGATCACGTACCGTTTACAAGCCAAAACAGCTCTAAACATATATGTGGCTGGATTTTGATGTGAGAGACAACAGGAGATGGACTTTTTCACTGCAGGAAGCATTAATATAGATTATGGACTCATATTTTAGCCGGAAGCAACAGTTTGAAGTTAAAATCGTCTTAATATTGGATTTGTTTCTTACAAACATGCAGCTTTTAGCTTCTCAAGACATTAGCTGATGGACTGGAGTGGTGTGGATTACTTGTGGATTATTGTGATGTTTTTATCAGCTGTTTGGACTCTCATTCTGACGGCACCCATTCACTGCAGAGCATCCATTGCTGAGACACTGATGCAATGCTACATTTCTCCAAATCTGATGAAGAAACAAACTCATCTACATTTCAAATGGCCTGAGGGTGGGCATATTTTCAACCAATTTTTTTTTTGGCTGAACTATTGCTTAAATATTTTTATCACAGCCTTTGAGTACTTTTTATGAAAGGATGTTCATTAATGGACAGATGATGTGATTAGAGAAACAGGGAGCCTGAAGCATGTGGCATGGATTCAAGTGGACATTCATTTTTCTGAGATACTCAATGAGACAGATGCATTATGGGAACACACTGTATGCTTTATTTGGGTCAGCTTTATTTAGTGTTCGGATCTCTGTTCTGTCAAACGTAAAAATAGGCATACATTATTATCCAAAACAGCACAGTTTGATCAGAGCATGTTTAAAATGGGTTTCCTCTGAGAAACAGCGATCAGAGTTAGAGAGTAAGAGAGCTGATCTTAGAGGAAACTTTTAATCTTTCACAGATGATTGGCTTTGTCTCAGGTGTTTCTCCCAAAGCGAAATAATAAAGAAAAGACAAATGAGTAAACAGATATAAAATGACAATATTATGTCCTGGAAAAAGTTTATGAGAAATGTTTGAGTTCATATTGGGCATATGCATGCATCCATTTAAATCCATGTAAATAAATAAATAAAAGTGCAAAAATAAATGCATAAATCAATAAATACATGTATAAATAAATGTGTAAGTGCAAAAATAAAGAAGTGTAAAAATAAATGCAAAAAATGAATAAATGAGTGCAAAATAAATGCATAAATAAATAAATGCATAAGTGCAAAGATAACTCAATAATTAAATGTATAAATAAATGCACAAGTACTAAAATAAATGTATGAATCAATAAATGTAATAACAAATAAACAAATGCATAAATAAATGCACAAATGTAAAAATAAATGCATAAATAAGTAAATACATAAGAGCAAAAATAAATCAATAAGTGTATAAATAAATACATAAGTGCTAAAATAAATGCATGAATCAATAAATGTATAAACAAATACATAAATGTATAAATAAATGCAAAAGTGAAAAAATAAATGCATAAATAAATTTATAAATAAATGCATAAGTGCAAAAATAAATCCATAAACCAATCAATAAATGTATAAACAAATAAATAAATGCATAAATAAATGCACAAGTGCAAAAATAAATTAGTGCAAAAAATAAATGCAGTAAATGTATAAATAAATGAATATGTAAAAAGATAAATGCATAAATAAATAATTGCATACATAATTAAATAAATACTTAGTTATATACTCAGCTCAAAATGAACAAGAAATAAACTTTATTATAACTCCAATTTAGTAACACGCAGTGTTTGGCTTCTGGATCCAGCAGCTGCAGAGGTTTAGGAGATTCAGTCAATGGCATCTGTTCTGATAGCTTAACTTATTGATTTCTGTGAAATGTCGGTGGCCTTTTGGAGAAAATGATGTTCTAATTTGCTCACTGGGAGTCTGGAGAGATGGAGGTTGTGACTTCAGCTGTCGACTGTGGGTCGGTCGGCCGTCTGTGAGGCCCTTAGTGAATGTTTGATTCACTGCGGCCCTTTACAAAACTGAGACTGTTCCCCGCATCCAAGATGAGATTTAGACTTGATTAGGTCTCTGGTGCCTATAAAAAGATTTTAGGTCATGGATGAGAGATGACAGTACGGGTTCTCACAAACATTTCAGATTAAACAATGAGACGCAACAAAGGTTTCCACTGTAGTGGAACAATTTCAATCAATTTGAGTTGTAATGGTACTGAAATAAAATAAAATGCCTAACTGAAAGAAATTGAGCTCGAAAGTTAGAAGAGATAATTACTCTTGTTCAAATATTCAATGAAAAATGCATTATGCACATCCATTTCTGAAAAACTGAATTGCTTAGAAAATAAAAGCTAATATTCAAATTGTGGAAAATTTTTAATCAATTTTAGTTGTAATGTTAAATAATGCAATGTGAAATAAATAATAAAAAATAAAATAAAATAAATGAAAATAAAATAAAATAAAATGTCTCATTGTAAGATGCAAAAACACAAATAATAAAAGTAGTTAAAATATTGGGTGTCACTGCTGTGATTGTAAAAACTGATTTTAAATGAAAGAATTTGAGCTCAAAATTGATTTTCAGTCAATTTGAGTTATAATGCTACTGAAATGAAACATAAAAAATAAGATAAAATAAAGTTCCTAATAATAAATATAATTCCTATTAATAAAATAATAAAGGAGAAAGAGAGAGAGAGCTGTAATGTTACTGAAATAAATCATAAAATTAATTAAACTATAAAATAAGTAAGGCCAGGTAAAATAAAATGCCTAATATTTCTTTTTTATTTATTTAATAATTTACATAAAAAAAAAAATATATATATATATATATAGACTACAAATAAAATACTGAAAACATGTGCACAGAAAATATTGAAATTTCAGGATGTGTCACTCCTGAGACTGTAAAAACTGAAATGAATTGAAAGAAACTGAGCTCAAAAGTTGGAAGAGACAACTACTGTTCAAATATCCAGTGAAAAATTCATTATGCACATCCATTTCTGGAAAAAATTAATTGCATAGAAAACAAAGGAAAAGAAAAGCAAATAAACTGTGCAGAACGAGTTACATGCCACCCATTTAAAAAGGGTTTCCAAAAGCAAACCCAGAGTCTAAGCAACAGTGATGCTTTCCTTCTTGGACTGTATATGAAAGCATTTTTATAAAAGGTTAAAAACATCCAGCGATGAATAAAACTGCTGCACGCGCCGTAAACGCACGTCTGTGATCCTCTCAGCCGTTACGGGACTGCTGACGTATCATCTCTAAATGTTAGCACATTTGTTCCTCTCACAGTCAGTATAATGCTGGCATCACACTTTTCACACAGTTCGGATCCACACTAAAAGCACAGAGTAAGCAAAGCACGGCTGTCCCGCTGTGACGAAGGTGATGAAGGTGCAGAGGCTCGTCTCAGCGCGAGCTCCACGTTTGTACGGCCCATAATGAACTCTAATTGCAGGGCTGAGATGGGGCCGCTGGGCTCTACGGGACGGCTTCAGCCCACTGAGACTCGCTGACAGATCTACAGCCGCCTGCGACGCTTCAAATGAGCCATTTATAGCTGTAATTAATTAGCAGACAGGTAGTTAAATACATGGATTGAAGGTGATGAGCAGCTAATGACTGCAGCGCTTCCTCACGCTGACCTCAGGTCAGAATCAAATACTAACACGCTGCAATTATAAACATTTCAAACAGCAACTCGCATGATAAAGTCAGCGAGTGACATGCAGCTCATTCTCAAAATTCATATTTTTTCCAGGGTTATTATTGTTAACTAAAACTAAAACCACAAAAAAGTTCATAACTTGAAATAGAATAAACATTAACTAAAATAAAATAGCAAGAAAAACCATAAACTTACTTTATTTCAGGTATTGTCTATGCAAAATTTCAAATTTTTGTTTAGTTGAAGCTCTAAAATATCTAAAACTAAAAATATTTAAAATATAAACGTAATATTTAAATATTTTAAATATACTAATATTTTTTTAAACGAATATAATGACAAAACAACAAAATTACTAAAATTAAAACAAACAATATTAAAATAAATAAACTTTCTTTCCTCACACTTTTTCCCTAATCTATTTTCTTCCACTTTTTCCCATTTTTTTCCACACTTTTTGCAATCCATTTTCTCCCAGCTTGCATATTTCTAACTTCCCATTTTTACATAAAAATATATTCCCAGTTTATTTCTTTAGTTAAAATTTTAACTACAATTAAAATGAAAACAAAGTATTAAAATAAATATAATTAGAAATAGTAACAAACTATAATAGTATATAAGTCATAACAAAAAATACAATGTGAAATTACACAGATTTTAAAAATATTTTAATCAAATTTTTTGTAAAAAATTGTGAATTGGGCAATAGAACTGACTCATATATATGTGACCCTCTCTGTGAAATCCAAATCTAATTATGAGATAACAAGCATCAAAGTTTGATTTCAACCATTAATTTCACTATGATTTCAATCTTTGACATGGCCTTACTCAGTCAATATTAAAGATATCAAGGTTATATTCACAGAATGATCTACATCTTTATGAAGGATGATTTTATGTAGAAAACAGTAAATCACAAAAAAATGACTTTAGCTGGGTTTTCACAGGCAGGGTCACATATTTCCCTTGTGACAACTAGCCCCAGTAGTGAAAGGGGGGAGGGGAACAGCCCAGAGAGCTAAACGCACTCAATTCCCAGAATAAAAATAAAATCTCCCAAAAGAACAACAAAAAGAAGACTTTCCCTGACTTTCTTTCTTCCCATGTTTTTCCTCTGATCTATTTTCTCCCACTTTTTTCCCCTAATCTACTTCTCCTCCTTTCTTTCCACCTTTCCGCTAATCTATTTTCTGCCACTTTCTTTCTTTCTGCTGCTTTTTAAATCTATTTTCTCCTAATTTCTTTCTTTCTGCCTTTTCTCCCATTTTATCCCACTTTCTTTCACACTTTCCCCCCATTTTATTTCTCCTACTTTTTTTCTTCCTTCCCACTCTCTTCCTCCCATTTTCTTCCACTTTTTTCCCAATTAATTTTCTCCCAACTTGCATTTTTCTCACTTTTCCCCAATCAATTTTTCCTACTTTCCTTCCACTTTCCCTCCTTTTCTCACAATTTATTTCTTCCCATTTTGTTCCAAACTATTTTCTCCTACTTTCTTCTTCCCACTTTTTTTTCTAATGTCTTTCTTTTACCCCAATTTGTTCTACTTTCGGCCCAAGTTTTTCCCATTTTTCCCCATTTTCTCACACTTTTTCCAATCAATTTTCTTTTTTCCCCATTTTCAACACAATAACGTATTCAACAACTTCACTCATTCCTTCCATTCAACATCCCAATTTTTTGGATGCATGTTGGTAAAACGACACCATTAGGCTGCTAGATGAAAAAATAGCTATGTATTATCATTAAATAATTTTATATGTCAACATATATGTATTTACTATGCAATGAGTTTTTTTTAGCCATTCTAATCTTCGACACCAATATTTCTCATGCATAAAACATGTTTTGAAGGTCAAATACCATGCTATTTCTATTTTTCCAGTTTTCATGTGCACTTTATCACAAAAACCGAATGATTCTACTTGTCTACTCTACTCTAGTTTTCTAATTCAGGTGGTCTATTTGTTATGCAAACACGCGTTGCAGTCATAAACTTCAGTCTCTGACAGCAACACGCCGCACAGAAATGACCGTCCAATCGATACTGCTCTCCGGGGATCCGTCTGAGCTATGAAAGCCTGCCACAACACGCTTTAACTCACTTTTATCGCCAGCTGTCGCTATGTGTTTATCAATAGGACATTAGACACGATTAAGCCTCTGCTGAGAGACGCGAGTCGCACTAACTGCTCCTTTCTGCTTACTTTAGCACTGCCACAGAACTGCTTGCGTTAGAAAGCACAATGTGCATTATAAATAGCACTGACATTTTAATCATCTATTAAATAAGGACGCTTTGCCTGAATGAGGTAAAAGCAAGTGCTTTATTGAA